GTGGGGGGGCTGCTGGGCCACGCGCTGTGTACGGGACTCGCTGTGCTGGGCGGGCGCATGATCGCTGCCTGGATCTCCGTCAGGACAGGTGGGTGGCGGGGAGGGGGGAGGTGAAGGGGCGTGGTTTGCTGTAGGGGAGAAGTATAAGACGTGGTGTGTGACGTGAGGAACGTAGTGGCAAAGCAGGGAGATCTTTAGCCTCTCCTTCAAGTTAAATTTTAAGTCTTATGAGTAGACCAGCAAAGTATTATGGATACCAGCATCGTCCTACATAAGATATTGGTTTAAATCTTGAGTAAATGATAAAATTAAAAAATTGATCTGATTCTATGAATTCACTGGTTTGCCACTATGGACTGACAACTATCATACATTGCAGGCTGAGAAGGAGCCACTGGAGGAGGGCGGGGCCGGGGGGCGGCGAGTGGGCTTGCTGCTGGGGGGGCTCTTGTCGCGGGTGTTCCTGGAGGCGTTCACCCTGAACGTCATGGCGGAGTGGGGTGACCGCTCCCAGATAGCGACGGTCATACTGGCCGCCAGGGAGGTATGTAGTGGCCGCCAGGGAGATGTACAGTGGCCGCCACTGTTTGTTGTGGCCACCAAAGAGTTCTATAGTGGCCGCCACTGCTTGTTGTGGCCACCAAAGAGTTATACTTCGTGGGTGATGCACTTGAACTAACGAGGTCGAAACTCTGAAGTGCTCTTCAGAAACTAATATTACTTGGGGTTGGAAGAGATTTGAAGGCGTAGATCCAAGACTTACTGACTGATAGACTACAAGCTCTCGTTGTTGGAGGCTCGAGGCGAGGGTGAAAAGTGGAGTACCACAGACAACGGTACCGCAACGGAGCACCCACAGGGAATGGTACCACAGCGGAGCACTAAAGGGAACGGTACCACAGAGGAGTACTAAAGGGAACGGTACCACAGCGGAGCACTAAAGGGAACGGTACCACAGCGGAGCACCCACAGGAAACGGCACCACAGCGGAGCACTAAAGGGAACGGTACCACAGCGGAGCACTAAAGGGAACGGTACCACAGGGAACGATACTCGGCCCTATCCTCATCCACATCGCCGACATGGATGTTGCAGTGAACCACGCCTTGTCATTAGCGGACGACACCAGGGTGCTGATGACTATTGCGGACAGTACAGACGGCGAGAAGTCCTGTGGCATATGGCCGGGCAAGTGTACAACATGCCATTGAAGGGTACCACCGGAAACTGTCATTCCAAATTTACTTGCTTCTAATTATCCATTTGCAGGATTGTAATGTATCACCCTATGGATGACTTCTATTTACGAGGTAGCGCGCATGGGGTAGTCGCGCCATGTACAATGCGTTCAGACCTTCCCGCTACCGTCGTGGTCGACGGCAGCGGCAGTAGCAATAGTTAGTTGATTGATAGTTGATTGACTGTTAGTAGTTGAAAGTCAGCTAGTAGTTGATTGATAGTTTGTCTGCTTCCAGTTACCATGATTTTATGCTGACAGGTGTTACCGTGGGCAATACTTCGTGCAATATGAAGTGTCTTGTTGTGTTCATTCATTTTAATGACATTATAATGGAAGAAGCTTGATAAACTATTTTACATGCTGCAAATTACAATTTAAATGAATGTGATATAAATAAACTATTTTAAGAGTTGTATTCTGATTTTAATTCTTTGCCATTTAAACGGCTAAGGACACGTGAGCATTGAACAAGCTTGTCTCTGACTTTGACTAGCGAGTATAAATAAGGCAAAGGTTAAAATGAAGTAACACAGCCGCCTCGACGTTTAATATCCGTCCTGATGATTGAGCTCTAAATGCTCGACCGTATCCTGACCGAGAACAGTGATAGGTAAACTATGAGAGTTTGCACTTTATTCAACGTAGAACTAATATATATATTGTAGAACTAATATTAAACCCAGGCGCGCTGACAAGCTCGTATGGAGCAGCGCTGCCTGGCGTCTGACGGCAAGAAAAAAAAAAAACTAGTATGCGAACTCGGGGTGTTAGTCAATACCCAAGTGATATTTGGTGAGAACATAGCAGCAATGAGCGCTAGAGGCAGGCGTTAGAGGGGCTAGATATGGCGGGTGATAATGTGGACGTGACGTCATGCAAAAGTGCAGGCGCTGACCCACTCTTTGATGACACACATTCTGGTGACCAAATCTCTTGTTGCAGTGACGCTGCTGGGTGGCGTCGTCTTCCTCATCTTCGCGCTCTCCGCCCTCATCATGGGACCCTGAGTGCCCCCTCAATCTTGTCCCTCTTCCTCCTGCCCCCCCCTTCCTATTAGTCCTTCCCTGCCCCCTTCCTGCCCCACTCCCTGCCCCCTCTCTTCTCTTCCCCGCTGCTCTCCCTCACGTCATTCAGCGTGTGCCTCGTGCTGGGCTGACGGGGGTTAGGGGAAGGGGAGGGGGCTGGTGCCCCGTCTGGGTACGTGTTGGAACTTGGCACGTGCCCACGTGTCTTCAACTGTCTATGACGTGCTCGTGCCCTCGTAACGGGGGTTAGGGGAAGGGGAGGGGGCTGGTGCCCCGTCTGGGTACGTGTTGGAACTTGGCACGTGCCCACGTGTCTTCAACTGTCTATGACGTGCCCGTGCCCTCGTACGTGCCCAGGGCCGGTAACGTACCCAAGCTTTCCCCAACCCCACCTGCCAAATGAATGGGGGGTTAACGTTGGGGTGTTAGGAGAGACGTAGCAAATTATTTATGTATATAATAAGTGTCTGGTGTAATGTTATTGTTACCTGAATGTTGTTACAGTGCTATTCTTACCTGAGGTCACCTCACGCCATCCCCTGTTTGCTGACTCCCCAGAGATACTCGCAGCCCCTCCTCCCCCTGTCTCTTATACACATCTAGATGTGTATAAGAGACAGGCGTGTAGTGGTGTAACGTAATGTAACAAATGTACTCTTAGCCACGTAGGAAGCACGCGTTAGACCTGCCATGTCTGCGCTGTTCTTGACAGTTTTCTCTTATCGACAGCCATGTTTGGATACGTGATCACGGTGATCCCACGTATCTACGTGTTCTACGTGTCCACGTTGCTGTTCGCGGTGTTCGGGCTGAAGATGCTCAAGGAGGGCTGGGGGATGGGCGAGGAGGAGGGGCGGGAGGAGCTCGAGGAGGTCCAGTCACAGATACGCAAGCGCGACGACAACGTCAGTATATATTGTGAAATATATACCGTATTGTATGTATATATATATGTATATATATCACATATACTGTATTGTATATGTGAAATATTTATAATAATTGAGTATGATATAATATTATGTTCTTATATTTGATCTAATGTATGATACTTACAGATGATCTAATAAATAGAAGGCGAGGCCGCCGTTAACGCGTCTCGTCTGGTATTGAATGCAATAATGCACCTGTAGGGGAGTGGTTAATATGTTGGCTTAATGTTAGTGCTGCATGATGTAGTGCTGCATGATGTAGTGCTGCATGATGTAGTGCTGCATGATGTAGTGCTGCATGATGTAGTGNTGCTACAATTCTGCTGTGCTTAACCGCCCGGCCTCCTTGCCGATTCTGACCAGAAACTGGCGCACAAAGCTGGGATCGAACCCGCGCCTCTCTGCTCCAATCTTGGTACTCTGAACTTTAACCACTGGGCCACCCTGTGCCCTTATCCCCCATCATAGAGTTAGACTTGAATTATATATTGTATAACGCATTACAAAATCGTGCAAAAAATGTCAAGGCCATCAGCAGAATGGCGACTACAATAGAGTACAATGGCACCTTAGGCGGCCATGGTGCCGTTCACGATTGTTTTTAAAATGCAAGCGAACGAATTTATGCTATAAAAATGAAAATCTTTAGCGAATTTCTGACTATTCCCTAGAACTGTATTTTTTGTTGCTCATACAAAGCCTCTCTTTCGGCAGCATCGCCTCCTTCATAACATCCTTGCACTCTATAGCTACAGTGATGTTGAAGGATGTGTGATGCCTCAGTCACCACTCACGCACATACTACCACACATAAGTGATCGCTAAAAAAATCGCAAAAAATGATTGGGAATACGATTAGATATTTATTGTTGCCGAGGAATTGAATGCAATTAAGAGAAATAGTGTTGAAACTTCTGCGAAACTAACAGCGGTTATAAACAAAATGAAGGAGTGATCAACGGTGAACAAGAAGTAGAACGGTGACTATCTCAGCGCGATCAAGATGAAACGACAGGGGTAAAATGTAACCGGTACATTAATTTGAAGCTATTCTTGCACATTGGATATTGATCGAGTTGATATTAATGAAGATCCTACATTAGGCGTTCATTAATAATGTTTTAACATTAGGCTAGTAATAACTATACAATTTTCAGCATTACGTTAGTAATAACCAAGATGTTCAGCGGCGTTAGGGGTCTGATGCTGGACGTGACAGGCGTGCTATACGAGTCAGGAGGGTGCGCTGTGCCCGGGGGCCCCGCTGCTCTCCAGAGGTGAGTTATTATTTATATTCAAATACTTGACTTTAATTAGTTGTCTTTAATTAGATATCTTAAACTATTTACCTCAAATTATTAATCATGTACTCGTTATCTTAAATAGCTGCTAAACTAGACGTTGCGAGGGAAGAAAGTTCCAGAATTCAATTATTTTTAATATTGATTCTAATTTCCACAACTAATTGGTTTTAATAAGAGGAAGGCCGTCCAAACCAAAATAGACTTCCCATTCGGGCACTGAAGCTTTTTATTACTTAAATAATAAATTAATCAGCCAAATTAAAAAATAAAATGAAATATTTATCTCGCACTCCCCTCCCGCGTTTTGAAGCCTTGAGATACCCATTAAAAATATATTCTCAGGTCCCGGTAATATCCTAATACGGCAGGTATTCTGAACACAAGCTCCTGTATATTGCGGCGTTGAGACACACAAACTAACTTACTAAATACTCGTGTACAATGCATTAACATGAACTATGTTACAGCGCGAGTCAAATAGTCAAGTTATGACTGCAAAAATCTGACATAACAGGCTGAGGGAGCGTGGCTACAAAGTGGTGCTCGTGAGCAACGAAAGCACGCAACCCACGTCGGTGCTCGTGGATAAGTTACGAGGGCTGGGATACTCGTATCTTACAGTGGATGACGTCATCACGCCCGTACCTGCTGTCATCGACGTGATCAGACAGCGCAGCCTCAACCCTCACCTACTCGTACACGAGCAGGCGAGGCACTGAAGGGGTGGTCGCTCTTGGCCTCTGGCTTGCCCTTAAGGTGCTTATACACGGGGCTATTAGTTGCTTCTACTAGGCGAGGCAACTAAAATTTGTGATGCTTGAAGTGTTCAGAGGCAACTAGCTGGTTCATTACAGGCAGAACAACTCGAGTTGTTTTAAAGCAGCCTATTGCGCTCAGTAGCGGCTCGGCCGTCATACGGAGCCTAGTTGCGTCACTCTCTCTCTCGCTCACTGCTGTCGTGCTCTCGCACGCCTCCACCGTGTACACCCTTACTCGACAACTCCAAACGTCGCACTGACGCGGGGGCAGTGTACCGAAAACACTATACTCGTGTATAGGCTCTCAGCCTGCTTCTGTAGTAGACGCAACCAATATACGCACCTAATAGCCCCGTGTATAAGCACCTTATTCCACGCATCACGCATGTAGCGCCGGTCTTTGTTTTGCATTGAAAATACCAAGGCAACTAAACGCTGAACTGCTTGCTTTGTTTGTGCCTGTTGTTATGATATATCTAACATGGGAAAAGAAAGGGGTGCATGAAACTGATATAAAATCTAATTTACTTGTGAACTTCATGGCTCTGTGGCCGCGCAGGTGGTGCAGGAGTTCGACTGCGTGCTGCAGGAGGCGCCTGCCACCTGCGTCGTTGTAGGAGACGCAGAGGATAACTTCTCCTACGCTCGCCTCAACGCGGCCTTCTCCTGCCTCCTGAACATGCCGCACCCTACGCTCTTCTCCCTGGGGCGGGGGTAGGGAGCGTGGTAGGGGAACTGGTGGAGGGCGTTGTAGGGGTGCTGAGCCCGGGTGCAGGTGGGGGCCTTTGTAAGGGGAATTGTTGGGGCTTTGTAGGGGGAGCTTGGGGGAGGGCTTTATAGGGGACTGGTGGTGTGCAATCTAGGATGCCTTAATCTATATAGGATCACAATTAGCATTTTTATTTTTAACATCGTTCAACAATGTGCACGCAGAATGTACTACCGCCATGGCGCCGCCCTGCGTCTGGACGTGGGTGCCTTCACGGCCGCGTTAGAGGCGGCCACCGGCGTCACGGCCGAGATTATTGGCAAGCCCAGCAGCCTTTACTTCCACTCCGCCCTAAAGAGGCTTGGTCTGCAGCCCAGCCAGGTGAGGGCTTGTCTGCAGCTCGGCCNCCAAGTTAGGGCTTGTCTGCAGCCCAGCCAAGTTAGGGCTTGTCTGCAGCCCAGCCAAGTTAGGGCTTGGTCTGCAGCCCAGCCAAGTTAGGGCTTGTCTGCAGCCCAGCCAAGTTGGGGCTTGTCTGCTGCTCGGCCTGGTGATGACATTGACAGATAGGGCTACGTTAAATGCTCACTTCCCACAATTTCCCAATACTTATAAGAAGTGATGAGAGACCGCAGACCGGTCGTCAGTTATGCCATCTCACACGTAATTTTATTTTGTAATGGAACGTTTGTTGTTTAGAGAAGTTTGCGCTGGAATAAACAGCTTAGTCGTTTTCTATGAAATATTTCATAGAAAACGAATTCATAGAAAACGGACAAGATCCTTGTAGTGCTATAACTAAGTTATTGTTGAAGGAAATTAAAAACTGAACTCCAGGATGCCATGGACCTGACGCTCGTGACCTGCGCAGGTGGTGATGGTGGGCGACGACCTGCAGGGTGACGTGGTGGGTGCCCGCGAGGTGGGCTGTCGGGCGGTGCTCGTGCAGACCGGCAAGTATCGCGCCGAGTGGGCGACCCACCCAGCGCCCACCTTCGTCGCCCGCGACCTCGCCCACGCCGTCGCCCGCGTCTTGGAGGATGCTGGCGACGGGTATTGACGCCCCTCAAATGTAATTATTTACCGGCGCCCTGGGCATCTTATTGGAGGGCATCAGCATATCTAATTGGGATATGGCGGCCATCTTGGATAGTTGCAAGTTGGTTCCCCGCTTACCTAATTAGAATCTGGCAACGTTTGGATGATATTTCGACAGAAGTCTTCCCTCCTCCCAAATTTTCCTTCTTCCCCTGGCGACGTTTGGATGAACCCTCTTCCCCGACGTTCGTACAATGGCAAAAATTTGCGTTTATATAAAAATTTCTGTAATCTTATTCTTTGAATATTGTATTAAGTTGCTTTATTTGCATGTTCAGTGCCGTAGCATCAATATTATCACAAAAAATAAACAAAAATATCAAGAAATATTTTTATTTACCTTCTTCCACTTGTTCTCGCTGGAAGAAGTGTTGCTGCTTCCCGTGACTGGCAACGTCCAGCTGTCTGACAATGTTCAGCTGTCTGGCAACGTCCGGCTGTCTGGCAACGTCCGGCTGTCTGGCAACGTCCAGCTTCCTGGCAACGTCCAGCTGTCTGGCAACGTCCAGCTGTCTGGCAACGTCTAGCTGTCTGGCAACGTCCAGCTGTCTGGCAACGTCCAGCTTCCTGGCAGCGTCCAGCTGTCTGGCAACGTCCAGCTGTCTGGCAACGTCCAGCTGTCTGGCAACGTCTGGCGTAGGATGGACGCCACGTAGGAGAGACGCCGCGTAGGAGAGACGCTACGTAGGATGGACGCCACGTAGGATGGACGCCACGTAGGAGAGACGCCACGTAGGAGGGACGCCACGTAGGAGGGACGTCGCGTAGGAGGCACGCCACGTAGGAGAGACGCCGCGTAGGATGGATACCACACGTAGGAGAGACGCCGCGTAGGAGGGACGCCACGTGGGAGAGACGCCGCGTAGGATGGACGCCACGTAGGATGGACGCCACGTAGGATGGACGCCGCGTAGGATGGACGCCACGTAGGAGAGACGCCGCGTAGGATGGACGCCACGTAGGATGGACACCGCGTAGGATGGATACCGCGTAGGATGGACGTCGCGTAGGATGGACGCCACGTAGGATGGACACCGCGTAGGATGGACGCCGCGTAGTATGGACGCCACGTAGGAGAGATGCCGCGTAGGATGGACGCCACGTAGGAGAGACGCCGCGTAGGATGGACGCCACGTAGGAGAGACGCCGCGTAGGATGGACGCCACGTAGGAGAGACGCCGCGTAGGATGGACGCCACGTAGGATGGACACCGCGTAGGATGGACGCCGGGTAGGATGGACGCCACGTAGGATGGACACCGCGTAGGATGGACACCGCGTAGGATGGACGCCGCGTAGGATGGACGCCAGCCGCGTAGGAGGGACGCCGCGTAAGAGGACGCGGCGCAGGAGGGAGCTGCGTAAAAGGGACGCCGCGTACGTAGGACGCTGAGTATGAGAGACGCGTAGTGAACATTCCTACATATCATACGCGTAGGAGAGAGTTGCGTCTGGTCGAGTCATTCATTGTTCGGTGATACTCGTGGCCGGCGCTTCATTCATGCGGTGAATGGCGGCGATTGTGCAGGATGAAAGCCATGCGGTCGACGGCAGGGAAACGCGGAGATTTGTCCCAGCTCATTTTAGGCCTCCGTTTATCGGACCTATATAAGTCATGGGTAATTTTTACTCACTCATTTCATCCAACGGGTTCCCAGGACGCGATTGTCTCGGCCCACAAACTCTAGTCTGGCTTTCTGATTCAAAAATAAACTCCATCTCCACACGAGAACACAAGTTGTGTACGCACGAAGACCACAAAGTTGCACCACACGAGCGTACGGAGCAAGCAAGTGTTATAGCGTCTGTGTGCCGCAATCGAGAATTAGTTCAGCAATATTATTAATGTAAAATCGACTTTATGAAGCTGTTACTAGTAAAAGTCTAGTTAGAATAGGCTAAAGTTGTATCAACAAATGTTTTCTTGATTCAACGCGACCCAACAACAGGTATTTTTGGTGAACAAAACTTTGCCAGAGCCAAATTTGGAGATCAGGCTCCAGCGCCGAGATGTTGCCGTTTGTCGCGGCTGCCGTGATGGCAGTTTGTTGTCAGGTGCCTGCGACACAAGCACAGCGTTTGTCGTCAAACGGCCTGCGAACAAACATCTCTCTGCCCAAAACTTCATCCATGTTATACCAAACAGACAGTCTGTTTACAAACAGTCTGCATGAGGACGATCTGTCACCACACGACTGGATAGCAGACAGTCTGCATGAGGAAGGTCTATCACCACACGATTGGACAGCAGACAGTCCCGGAAGACAGGGTCCTGGGACATCCCTGCAACCCGTCGTCCCCAGTCTGTCAAAGAACAGTTCCGACACGTCCCCGCGACCCGTGGCCCCGTACCAGGACCCCGAGTGGTTACGGGAGGAGCCGTGGAGCGGCGGGGCGGCCAAGTACAGACGGCGCCGCTTCCTCATCTTTCCATCGGGCTCCACCCTCACCGTGAGTACCGGGGACGTGTTGCCAGTCAGGTGCTACCAGGGACGTGTTGCCGGGCAGGTGTTGCCAGGGACGTGTTGCCAGGCAGGTGTTACCAGGGACGTGTTGCCGGGCAGGTGTTACCAGGGACGTGTTGCCGGGCAGGTGTTACCAGGGACGTGTTACCAGGGACGTGTTGCCAGGCAGGTGTTACCAGGGACGTGTTACCAGGGACGTGTTACCAGGGACCTGTTGCCAGGCAGGCGTTACCAGGCAGGTGTTACCAGGGACGTGTTACCAGTGCAAGCAAGGTCGTATCATCGGTGCAGGCAAGGACGTGTGCGACGATGTTTAGCCTCAGTCTGACGAGTTTGATATGTAAGGTAACCGGAAGTGATCAAAGTATATCATGCTCTCTTTTCCGCCCACACTCCGCTCGTGCATTCTCAGGTCACGCCTGTCTCCGTCCGCCCTGGTGGGCGACCCACATTCCCCTCGTACCTTTAAATGTGATCAATATTCCCCTCGTGTCTTCGTATGTGACCTAAATTTTTCTCGCCCCACATACCCACACTCCCCTCATACCCCTGCAGGTGACGCTGCTCTTCGGTCTGCCCGTACGGGGTATCGGATCGAGCAGCTCGCTGACGCTGCAACACGACCTCGTCTTCAACCTGCCCACCTCCGTCCCCAACTTCAACCTCTTCCTCGGCCGCAACTCCCACGGCTGGCACGACAGGATCGATTTCTTCGAAAAATTCGAAACTTTTCTGGACGGGTGAGTACCGTGAAAGCTACCACGGCTGGTGTCTCTACCGTAAGAACTACAGCGGCGGGTGAGTCTCTACCATGAGAACTACCACGGCGGGTGAGTCTCTACCGTGAGAACTAGCACGGCGTGTGAGTCTTTGCCGTGAGAACTACCACGGCGTGTGAGTCTTTGCCGTGAGAACTACCACGGCGGGTGAGTCTCTACCGTAAGAACTACCACGGCGGGTGAGTCTCTACATCCAAAGCCTTGCTTTGGATGTAGAGACTTTGGATGTCCCCACATCCAAATGGATGTAGGAATGCATTGGATGTCCCCACATCCAAAGCATTCATGTGGCTGATTGTACGCTTCTGCACCACTAACAGCATTGCCGGAAGCAGCAGCAAGAGGCAGCAACAATATTGTGGATCAGCGGGCCCTACTGAGGGCATCAGCTGGCCCAACTGAGGGCATCAGCTGGCCCTACTGAGGGCATCAGCTGGCATCTGACCCCCTGTCTCTGCCCCAGGCTGGGCATGGTGCCCACAGTCTCTGACCCCCTGTCTCTGCCCCAGGCTGGGCATGGTGCCCACAGTCTCTAACCCCCTGTCTCTGCCCCAGGCTGGGAATGGTGCCCACAGTCTCTGACCCCCTGTCTCTGCCCTAGGCTGGGCATGGTGCCCACAGTCTCTGATCCCTGTCTCTGCCCCAGGCTGGGCATGGCGCCCACAGTCTCTGACCCCCTGTCTCTGCCCTAGGCTGGGCATGGCGCCCACAGTCTCTGACCCCCTGTCTCTGCCCTAGGCTGGGCATGGCGCCCACAGTCTCTGACCCCCTGTCTCTGCCCTAGGCTGGGCATGGCGCCCACAGTCTCTGACCCCCTGTCTCTGCCCTAGGCTGGGCATGGCGCCCACAGTCTCTGACCCCCTGTCTCTGCCCTAGGCTGGGCATGGCGCCCACAGTCTCTGACCCCCTGTCTCTGCCCTAGGCTGGGCATGGCGCCCACAGTCTCTGACCCCCTGTCTCTGCCCTAGGCTGGGCATGGCGCCCACAGTCTCTGACCCCCTGTCTCTGCCCTAGGCTGGGCATGGCGCCCACAGTCTCTGACCCCCTGTCTCTGCCCTAGGCTGGGCATGGCGCCCACAGTCTCTGACCCCCTGTCTCTGCCCTAGGCTGGGCATGGCGCCCACAGTCTCTGACCCCCTGTCTCTGCCCTAGGCTGGGCATGGCGCCCACAGTCTCTGACCCCCTGTCTCTGCCCTAGGCTGGGCATGGCGCCCACAGTCTCTGACCCCCTGTCTCTGCCCTAGGCTGGGCATGGCGCCCACAGTCTCTGACCCCNTTGATGTGACGTGCTTGATGTGACGTGCTTGATGTGACGTGCTTGATGTGACGTGCTTGATGTGACGTGCTTGATGTGACGTGCTTGATGTGACGAGCTTGATGAGACGTGCTTGATGTGACGTGCTTGATGTGACGTGCTTGATGTGACGTGCTTGATGTTACTTGGTAAGACCTCCAAACTTTCAAAACATTATCAACATTTAAAACCTTCTAACGCATCGCAGGATCATTAATATTTATTAACAAATATTAACTCTATAATGCGGCTTGCCGTACAAATTTGATCAATGAAGTAAGAGTTTAGCCGAAAATAAAAATTTTAAATTTTGTGGTCTTGTGGCATCTCTCGTATTGCTCTGGACGAAGAATATTGTACAGGGGCTCATGTGGCAGATGCTTATATTAATAGTTTACGCTACTACTTTCCATCCCCACCGCCACAATCCCACATTCCCCGCCACAACCCCCATCCCTCACCACAACCCCCCGCCCCCCGCCACAACTTTTTATACCCCACCACAACCCCCCGTCCTCCCCTCCCCCAGGATCCTCGCCCACACGGCGGACGGCGGGGACGTGGACGACGAATACTCCGCCGCTGAGCTCCTCGGCCGCCACAGCGGCGGGTGCGCGGCGGCCTTCCCGACGTGCAGCCTCTCCGTCGCCGACTTCTTCTCCGCCGTCGTCTGATGCGCCACAGTGGCGCCATTGTGGCGTTATTGTGGCATCATTATTACATTATATGTTACACCCGCTATTGTGGCGTCATTGTTACATTATATGTTACACCCGCCATTGTGGCGTCATTGTTACACTATTATGGCGTTATTGTGGCGCCATTGTTTCGTCATTGTTACATTATGTTACACCCGCCATTGTGGCGTCATTGCTACATTTTGGCGGCATTTTTTGGCGTAATTTATGTTAGATTTAAGCGATTTTGTGACGTCGTTATGACGTATTGTGACGTGATAGTGTAACGGAGGCTCGGTTATTACCTGAATAAAGTCGTTATACAAGACGCGTGTTTGACTGCCTTTATGAGTCGTCATACCAGTTCGAAACTTTCGCCGTGACAAGGCCGTTCGGCGCCGTGATGACCTCACCTTATGACCTCACCTTATGACCTCACCTTATGACCTCACCTTATGACCTCACCTTATGACCTCACCTTGTGACCTCACCTTATGACCTCACCTTGTGACCTCACCTTATGACCTCACCTTATGACCTCACCTTATGACCTCACCTTATGACCTCACCTTATGACCAGTTTAGGACGTCGTCGTCCACTATCACTGATGCGCCGCTATCGTCTGATTACAGTTGGTTTTATTATGGATCGTAACCTGCAATAATTTAGTCAGGTTGCGTCTGTATCGTCTCAGGCTTCCTCAGCGTGTTCGTTTTAAAGTTTCCGTATGAACAGTTTACAGCAAGAATATCGTACAAAAGAGAGGGTTGCAATGGAACACTGATATATTTAATAGTAAACTGGAAAGTTTGCATCCTACGTGAACAAATTCACTGTTGCAAACGACAAGGAAATAAATACAGCACTTGATATTTTATCCCTAAGAAAACATCACTCCTGATTATTGATCAAAGACGTGAATGGAGCACTTTGAAATGAAATGTCTCTAATCGCTGTTCGAACTTTCTTACTTTCCCAGGGAACATTGGTCTGGAGGGCAATCCCGTAGCGCGGTACGGTTGCTATACCGCGACAGTATCGATCACAAAAGTCTTCTGCCGTAATGACGATCGTTTGTTCTAAGTAGTTGTACCGCGATTTTCGTTCTAAACCTGTCGTCTCGCCTATTCCAAAGATATCTGTAGTTCCGCATTTCCGCACGGTTAACAGTGTTAATGGCTGTACTTCGAAACGGCTCTGAAGGCTTCCTGTTTTGTGGCGTTGCGACCAGCTCGTGGCCGTACTGATGATGCTGTGTCAGACCGTCAGACTTGAATGGATTGCTTGCTGTGTAATCGCTGACTTGCTGGCTGTGTAATCGCTGACTTGCTGGCTGTGTAATCGCTGACTTGCTGGCTGTGTAATCGCTGACTTGCTGGCTGTGTAATCGCTGCTCCTCTGTTTGCTTCTCGTGTAGGCTCGCAATAGAATAACGGCCGACGCGGCCGTTGCGGTGTTGTTGGCTGTATCGAAATTCAGGGAAATCATGGTCGTCATTTTTATATTGTAGATTCTCTTGCAGTAATCGTAGCCGTATCGATTAGTCGAAGTTTCTCGCGACTGAACGGGCGAAAACGCCGGCCCGTGGCCGTGGCCACAACGTCCGCCCACTGCAGACCGTGCTAGCGTGACGATCACAACGTTAGAACAGCCTTTTGGCGTGAATTTTAGGGTCCCTGTAAAGGCATACGTCGTACACACTCAATAAGCCAACCAAGGGATGCCACGACAGTTTCTAGTTCCACAAAGATCAGTCCTTTCGATCACAACCTATTTTCATTTTTGTGATATAGAATAAAGTGATAATTATCTACTCTTTATTTACGTCGTCCTCCGTCTCCAATTAAGCCGTCGATAGATAGGCAGGTCGCCCGGCCCTCGGGTCGTGAATATGACGTTGAACGTGTTCCGTATATCTGCCCTCATTTGAGCCAGCTGATACAAGTTGATGTTGCTTGTTACCTGCAGTGGAGTGGCCTATAACCGGACAATCCGGGATCTTGCTGAAAAATACATCCAAAGATCTCTTGCGTGTTTCAAGTGAAACCCCTCCTTTCAGCTCCTTCGGTAAGACGTTGGATGGACTCGGTAATAAGATGGACAGTGAATGTCAGTGGTCCCTCCTGAAAAATCTGTAGATCTGGCCTCAGCTCGGTTATTAAGTGGGGTAATCCTGCACAGTTTCCCCCCTCTTTCGATGTGATGTGTTGCTATCCTGGAGGCCTCGCTTTCAAAGTTGACCGCTATCCCGGTTGTAATCTTCTAAGTGAACAGTATGATGTACCTTGTGATGATGTTGGGTTCAATTAACTGGTATAAAGTTTTTATATTTATTCAAAACAGTTCAGAATCACGATCATTACTAGGTAGCCTATTTAAACTAAGGAGAGACTATAACTATAGAGAGTCTTCTAGAGAGGAGAGGGACTTCGCTCTGTCCTGCCGAGACAAACAAATGACACAAATAAATACACATCGAAATGAACAATACAGAAAGATAATTCAATAATCTAAAATACAATAATTCACGGACACTTAAAGAAGAGCACTGATCCAAATTCACGCGTACCTGAGAATAGCGTACTGCAGCCTATAATAGCTCAGTCAGCCTCACGAGGAAACCAGAGACAAAGTGCTTCAACTTGACTGGCTAGGCCTTACAACAAGTACTGTTCCGACAAGTAGTGCGGATAACCTTCTTACATACCTCTCTCTTCTCCTCTCGTGTTATCACAGTCCGAGGTGTTTCAACCTGCCCAGGAGTTCAGCTCTCTCATACCGCTAATCCTGGACGTGAAAGTACGTTGAACTGCCTCCAGTTTCTGCACCGCGCCCGCCTTGAGTGGGGCGCAAATAATTAAGCTGGCAGCAGCACTCCAGAATGAGGAGGAAGAGGGCTATGAAGAGATCATTAATTGGATCCGCTTTTCTCGTTCGGAATATCCACCAGATCCAACCCATCTTTTGTCTGCCTCGCGCAACTATTTCT